AAAACACTCTCTGACTTCAACTGAAACATGAGACTGAAAAGAGAAAACGACACACAAGGGGGAGATGGGAAAAGGGAGCGTGGCCGCAGGCTGAGAGCATAGGTTGTGATGGAACAGAGGCTGTGGAGCGAAGGACAGGGTCAGAGCTCTGCTCGGGAAGTTAAACTGATGCACTAGGCAATTGGAAGGCATGAACCAATGGCCGAGGCTCTTGTGGTATCAGATGTGCAGTATGAGAGTAGAAAAAAAAAAAAAACGACATAAGAGACACCGAGGGAAAGAGCTCGAAGTGGGAAAATGTCAGTCTTCAGAACAAGGGACCACAGTGAAAACACACAGCTCCATGTTCTAGCATTCCCGTCCCCTCCAAACAGTCAGGGTTATTTTATTAACAACCGCCGTACTGTCCGGCCCTGCCTGTCTCTTATCTGTGTCTGCACTCTGTGCCTGGGACAGAATGCCAAGTGTCCACCATTCTTTGTGAACCACTCGTGAAACCCACAGCCCTCGCCAGCTCACATCTGTGCTCCTGTGCCTTTGGCGGTCACTGTGAATCCATCATGAAGAAGGCATGTTCCTGGCATTAATAAGCTTGCTTTTCTTAAATGATTTTTTTGGGGGGAGGGGCCATGTTTTGTCTGCAAACACGGTATGGGGCCACAGTCTCTTGTTCTGTGGGAAATAAATACGCACCCAGAGCTCTCAGATCTCTTCGAAGTGGAAAGCAGTCAGTGCCCCATCTCTGATTCAGGCCAACACAACAGACCCATCTTATCAAGTTAAAGAAAAAAAAAAAAAAAACTCTGCTCAGAGGTGACTCTAGGGAAATGTTTGACTTTCTTCTATTCGCTTGGTGCATGAAAATATTTAGAAAAAAATGGAAAAGAAAATTAGGCACGTTACTTTTTTCTTTTCTCTGGCTACTGTTCAGTCTTTCTGTAGACAGATTCTGGGTGCCTTGCTTGCTGGGGCTGTGTTATTAGCACAAAGCGATCATTCCAGTGAATTTGGCCTGACGTTTGGGCCTGGTGCCCACCTTCTGTGGAGTGGGAACTGGCCTGGAAGGTGGTTGGCTGACGGGGCACATTCTGTAGACTTCAGCAAGGACTAGAGTTTCCACACTGAGTTAGCAACACCAGCAAGGGATGAGAATCTGCAAGCAGGATATGATGTTGAGAATCCTGGCATTCCCTGCAGTCTGCCCACAAAGTCTCCTTGCCTTTCCCTATAAGGAGCCTGGGCATCGCTGGTGGGGTTTTTTGTTTGTTTTTGGTTTGGATTTTGTTTTTGTTAAGAAGATATATCATCACAGTAAACCATTTGGCTCAGTAGTGCACAGTCATTACATGGTCATACAACTGGAAACATTGATTTTTTTTTAATATGTATTTTCTTTTCCTAGTACTTGACACTGGGTTATGTAACGTCATTTTCATACATGTATGTCATGTGCTTTGAATGTATCACCCCATACTTACCCTGCCTTGCCCTTAGTTCCCCTAAACAGTTTCTCTTTCACTTTCTAGTGTAATTACTCATATTGTTTATGTGTGCAGCAGGGCAGGAGAGGGTGTGGGATCCCTGGAGATGGAGTTGCAGGCATTTCTGAGCAGCCCAGTGTGGCGCTGGCACAGGGTCCTCAGGACAGAACAGAAGAAAGCCCTTTCACTGCTGTACATCTCTGCAGCTCTTATTCTGCCACCAGCAAGGAGAAGGAGCTCCCGACTTGTTTGCCTTTCTCTAGAAAGTGAATGGGTGGGTTGGAGGCCGGGGCTTTCCACAACCTTGCACTCATTTAGAGCGATCAGCTGTCAGCGATCAGGTCACGAGGTAGTCTTTAGTCATCTGAGGTTTCAAAGAGGTACCAAGAAAGCACTTAGCCCCGCCCCCTACTGCCCCAAACAGTAGCCCCGCCCCTCACCGACCCAAACAGTAGCTTCATAGTTGTTTTCTTCTCTGGATAGTGACGTTAGGTTGGCTGCTAAGGCTGTGATGCCACACAACCTTGCTAAGACTTTTCACAGTGCTCAGATGCGGCAGGATTTTAACTTCCTAATCTCTTCCCTAGGTCTGTCTGCTTTGCAAGTCTTCTTGTTGCTATTTTTCTAATAGGGGTTGTTTGTTCATTCTGTTCTGGTCTGCTGTGGTTTGTGTCAGAGACTGAATGTTATGCAGCCCAGGCTGGCCTCAAATTTGCTGCCTACTGAGGCTGTCCTTGATCTAATCCCGAGTTGTAAGACTGCAAGCTTTTAGTACCACGCCCAGGTTGTTTGGTTTTGCTGTTTGGGTTAGCTACTTAGCAGTCTGGAAAACTGACTACAGTAAATGTGGAAGTTTCAGACACTCTCTAGTCTTTGCGTTGCTTACACCCAAGGATGCAAAACAAACCAAGTCAAGGTGGAAATCCTTCTGTGTGAGGTCTGACAGATTTCAGAACTTTCATGTGCAGGCAGACTAGCAGGGAAGATCCACCCGTCCATGTGTATCTCCTCATAGATGCACAAGGTCCTCTGAGAAGTGAGTGTCACTCAAAATCCTCCAGCAAAGCGTGGAGGGGTTCCTTCTCCATTAGCCTGTTGCAGAAAGGTCCAACAAATCAGTCATAGAGCAGGGGTGAGACTTTGTTGTCCTCACCTGGGGTCAGAACTGGCCTCCGCCTGCTTTCAGTTACAGAACACCTTCCATTTTTTAATATCTGAGTTCAGTGCAGAGGGTGCCCACATCTTCAGTGTTTGATTCAGAAATAGGACAGGGAAGAAGGAAAATACATGGCTTACACTGGCTTTCCTTCCCCCTCGGTGTTCCTGTTTATCATAATGTTTCTCTTGCTTTGCAGTAGGAAAACAGCTTTATCAACAATCACTTTTTAAAGTCTGAAGGATGTGCACCTTTCTCCATCGTGGAAGCAGTCCCACGTATCAGTAATTACTCTCGTGAGAGACTAACCTAATTATTCTGATATATCCACCAAATCAAAAGTAGGACACTAAATTCACAGGAATGTTAACGGCTACGTTTAATTGATTTCAATGTTTCGTAAGAAAAAGCTTTTAGCTCGATATTGAATGTTCTTTCATTAAATGAGAAAAAAAAGTAAATTTTTTTTCTGTTTCAATGAAAAAATGTTATCAGTAGATGGTTAGAAAATAGTTGTCCAAATTATTTCCTATGACTCTATTAGAATTATATCGTGTAATTTAGTTTTTCTACCAAAAGAAAGTAGGCTTGGACTGGTTTGTTTCCCTGCTAACCATTGATTTCCTGGTCCTTGTAGGAAATATTTGTGTTCAAAAGAAAAGAAACTAATATGCCTGTGGTGTGTTTCCATAGCCATATATGGGCCTGGAGATACGGTGCCACGATAAGAGGATTCCAGTTGGTTCCCAGCACCCACATGGTGGCTCATATCCAATTCCAGGGGATCCAACAGCCTTGTCTGCCCTCTGAAGGCTACACGTGTGTGGTGCACATGAACTCAACCAGACACACACATATGCATAATAGACAAATAATAGAGCGTATTATTGTACTGCATTCTAGGTCACTCAATCCACAGGTAAATGATAGCATGAGTATTGTACCATGTTCCAGGTAACTTATCCCATATTGAGTCAATGATAAAATGCAATCTTTTTTGCTGTGTTTTTATGCTTCAGTCAATCATATAAAGAACATTTTTTTCTTTATGACTACTTATCATCTCTTTTAAGAGACCATAGCTTTCTCTCTCTCTCTCTCTCTCTCTCTCTCTCTCTTTCTCTCTCTCTCTCTTAATTTTTATTTTGCATGGCTGGGTATTGCTTAGGTTCTCAGACACGCTATCTAAGCCCTCTGCCCAAGTTCTATTCTTAGCTTCGGACTTTATCATCTTAGGACCCACACCTTTTTTATTTATTTATTTATTTATTTATTTATTTATTTATTTATTTATGAGTACACTGTAACTGTCTTCAGACACACTAGAAGAGAGCATCAGATCTTATTACAGATGGTTGTGAACCACCATGTGGTTGCTGGGAATTGAATTTAGGGCCTCTCGAAGAGCAGTCAGTGCTCTTAACCACTGAGCCATCTCTCCAGCCCCAACTTTATCATCTTAAATAGAAATATTAGGCCGGGCAGTGGTGGCGCACGCCTTTAATCCCAGCACTTGGGAGGCAGAGGCAGGTGGATTTCTGAGTTCGAGGCCAGCCTGGTCTACAGAGTGAGTTCCAGGACAGCCAGGGCTATACAGAGAAACCCTGACTTGAAAAACAAAAAAAAAAGAAGAAAGAAAGAAAGAGAGAGAGAGAGAGAGAGAGAGAGAGAGAGAGAGAGAGAGAGATTAGGAGATTCAGTCATTCATATAGTGGCATGGTTTGTGTTTTAAGCCAGTGGGCTGGCCATCTGGAAGCCATATTGAATGTTTAAGGTCCGTGCATTGCACAGTATTTAGTGCTTTCACCCATGATCCAGGTAGTTAACCCAGGGGAGAAGGCAGTAGAGTGATGACTGCCTCTATTTTCACTCGTCTCTGCAAAATCTTTTCACCCAGATGATGGAGGGATACTAATGCGGGTGGGGGTGCCTGGGATTTGTGAAACAAGTAGGTAGTAACAAAGGATCTGGTGTAACAAGGAATCAGGAGCTTGGGCAATGGTAACCAGGCTGCGGATGGCCCTACTGACAGTATATCACAGTCACAGGGAAAAGGCAAGCCAGTGCAAACTCTAGGTCTTCAGACATGCCCAGGCCTTTCTGTATGGACCAGTCAGTTCACGAAGTATACAAAACACCAAGTAGATAATCTTCAGTAGGGCTGAGCTTGGTCCTCTCAAGACGTGGAAGTGAGGGCTGGACCGATGGCTCAGCAGTTAGGAACTTGCTACTTTTACTTGAATTCAGCTCCCAGAACCCACGTGTAATTCCAGATGCAGGAGATTGATGCCCTCTTCTGGCCTCCCTTGGCAGTTTCTAAGACTTGCCTTACCTTTCTGAGCTGACAGTTTCTCTTTCCCCAGGGCACCTGGATGATGACGGTTTACCACACGGGTTCTGCACTGTCACCTATTCTTCCACGGACAGATTTGAGGGCAACTTTGTGCATGGAGAAAAGACTGGACGTGGGAAATTCTTCTTCTTTGATGGCAGGTAGCCCTCGCTGTTCTGTCTTATTCCGGGGGCATGGGGATCTCCAACTATGTCAAAGGAAAAAGTGATACAAATGGAAGAATTCAATTAAAAGTCTGTGTGTGCCAGGCAGTGGTGGCGCACGCTTTTAATCCGAGCACTTGGGAGGCAGAGGCAGGCAGATTTCTGAGTTCGAGGCCAGCCTGGTCTACAGAGTGACTTCCAGGACAGCCAAGGGCTACACAGAGAAACCCTGTCTCAAAAAAAAAAAAAAAAGTCTGTGTGTAGCTCATGCAAAAGGTGAGAGTAACCCCAACATATATGCAAGGCTTTGGTGACCAGAAATGACGGTGATGACAGTGCAGAAGCCAACCTGATGAGTACCCGAGCCTGGGATGTGTCTGTCTAGTGATGTTCTGATTTAGGGCCCACTCCTGTCTTGTACAAATTCATTTCATGGCTACCCGGTAACCATAACGTAGCTTAATGGCATCACACAAGGTCGAAGGCAGGACAGACGCCCACAGTCTGACCTCCACATGTACCATGGCATGTATGTGCCCACGCTCACACATACCCATGAGCACAAGCACGTATGTCATATAGACAGACATACACTGGCACAACTTCAATACCCGCCGGATCCCTGGTCCCCAGGGCTCTCTTTCAAGGTGTTGACATCAACACCGCCTCTTTCAGAATCCCTCTTTCCAGAAGGTAACTCCCCTGCTTGGTTTTTATGGCAGTTTAATCATAGCTCTTCTTCTGGAAAATGTCAATTTTTACTTGGTGCCAAGGTTATTTTTGCATTCATTCAACAATGTATGTTTTTTGTAAAGGGCTGATTTCCCTTCCCCACCTAAGGAGAGTTTCCTTGAGTGCACAGTCTCTGCCTATGATGTCTTCTGTACTTTATGACACATTCTCTTAACGTGATAGTTTAAAATAATGATAGTAAAACCCTTGCCAAGTGAATGCGGGAGCTGGAAACAAGTTAGAGCTTATCCAGATGGCCACACACATGCACACACATGCGCTCACACGCATGAGCATGAGCCCGTTCATACTTTGAATTTGGTGGTTAGATGAGGCTAGCCAACAATTGACCGTTTCATAGGGGAAACGGTCCAGCAAGTTGGTTGTATTTGAAGGCGGGCCTTTCGGTGTACCAGAGCATTAATGGGCTAGACTGAGCATCTGAACCAGTGTGCCAAGATGTATTCCCTGATAACCACAGAGAGACTGATCCCTGAGCAGGCAGGGAGGAAACAGGACTCCCTGAGTGCCTTCCCCATGTGCCTTGCTGGTGGAGTCTGACTTCAAGTGCCCTATCAGGTCACCATGTGCCATGCATGTGCAGTAGTTTGCATGTGGTTCATAAATGGCAGATCTGAAGGAGAGGTTGAAGGATGTGCCCAGTCGCCAGCAGTAAATCCATTGGCTTTTCTTTTCCATTTGAGGTGCTTATTTTTTCTCTTGAGACGAGGTTTCATGTAACCCAGGCTGGCCTCATGCTCACTGCTTAGTGGAGGATTTCCTCGGCCTCCTGACCCTGCTGCCTCGACCTCCCAGGGGGCTACAGTGACAAGGTATACTACCATGCTCAACTTTTCCTCTCTGTAAAATTAATTTTAAGTTCACACGTGATTTAATTTTATCATGTGATATTTTTCACATTTTTTTTTCTGTGCTGAGGATTTGAACCCAGGACCTGGTCCATGCTATGTAAGACCTTTACTACAGAGATATGTCCTCGGCCCATATATTCCACTCTTCCCCCTACCCTTCCAAAGGAAAAAAGAAAAAAATCTAAGTTAAAGCAACAGAGACTTAATTCAAGAAACTGAGACGTCTTAACCTCTCTGGGTCCTGAGATAAGGATGTGTATGCAGTCAGCAAACAAGATCTTTTGATTCTGTTGGTGCGGCATGGTCTGGATGGAGCCTGACACTGGGTGTGTATGGTCCTGAGGCTCCTATGGAAATGTTTTCTGCCGCTAAGAATGCTTTGATATCTGCATCCTTGATTTTGCCTGAAATGGCTAATCTGGGTGTTTAGTACAGTTTAACTGGTCTGAGTTCCACCAAAATTTATAAGCATAGAGTCAGAACTTGTCATTAGCCTAGAACTGGGAGAAGAAGAAGAAACGAAGTAGCCCAGAGGCATCTACTTTCATGCTGTGGAATGGTAATTTTTGGGAGTCTTGTGGTCTAGAGCCCAAGATAAGAAGAGAGATAATTTATCATATGTATGATTGTTCTTTGGTACTGGGGAAGGGCCTCATGAATGCCAGGAAGATGTTCTACCAGAGCGTCATCCTCTGCTCTTTAAACTCTGCCTGCCTGCCCTCAAACCTGCTGCCCCTCTGCCTTTTCCTCAAGAGTGCTGGGAATCCAGTGTGTGAATATTTATTTTCAGTGCTTTTCCTGGACATGCCAGCTAGGTCTCAGAGTACTTTCTACTGCATGCCTTTATTTTTCTGTACCCTAGCCGTGCATGTGTGCGTGTGCATGTGTGTGTGTGTACATGTGTGGAGGATAAAAAGAAAAAGCTCCATTGTTTCTCAGTGACATCAACCTTGATTTTCCTTTTTAAATACATAGATTTATTTATTGGGAGGGGCTAGACATGCCACAGTGTTTGTGGAAGTCACAGCACAACTTGCAGGAGCTGGTTCTCTCCTCCTACTATGTGGGTCCCACAAATGGGGATCAGGTCACCAGGCTTGGTGGCAAGCACTATACCTGCTGAGCGTGTTCAATGTTTGTTTGTTTTTAGACAAGGCCTCTCACTGGCTTAAACTCACCAAACAGGCTAAGGCTGAGAGTACAGATCCATACCACCACACCTGTCGTCTTCTTTTTTTTTCTAAAGTGGATTCTGAGGAACTAAACCACATCCTGTCCTCACAAGACAAGTTTGCAAGACAAGTGGCTTACCAGCTGAGCTGTCACCCCCAGCCTCTCAGAGGCATTTTCTGATGTTGATTTTCTGTCTTGGTGTGTTCTGCTGAGAGGGCTCCCTATGGGCTGAGGGGAAATGAGGACACCTAAGGTTTCCCAGGTTGTTACAAATGCTTGGTCACATTTCACAGAAGCTGAGGTAGAAATGAACTTTTGATGTCACGAATCCCAGCCTCCCATGTGAGACAAAATCCTCTCTGTGTTCCTGACCATTACAGTTAAGGTGAATTCATTCCTACATTTTCTTTCTTGTTTTTCTCATGTTTTGTTTTTGTTTTTGTTTTGTTTTGAGACAAGGTTTTATGTAACCCAGGCTGGCCTTGTTATGTAGCTAGGATAACCTTAAACCCCTGATCCTCCTGCCTTTACCTCCCATGAGATTACAAGTATGAAACACTGACTAAATTCACTTTTAGAAGTCACATTTCTTTTCCTTTCTTCCTTCCTTCTTTTCTTTCTTTCTTTCTTTCTTTCTTTCTTTCTTTCTTTTTTTCTTTCTTTCTTTCTTTCTTTCTTTCTTTCTTTCTTCCTTTCTTTCTTATTTTATGCAATATGAGTACACCACCATTTCTCTCATCAGACACACCAGAAGAGGGTATCGGATCCCATCACAGATGGTTGTGAGCCACCATGTGGTTGCTGGGAATTGAACTCCGGACCTCTGGAAGAGCAGTTCGTCCTCATAACCGCTGAGCCATCTCTCCAGTCCCTCCCTTTCTTCCTTCCCTCCTTCCCTCCCTCCCTTCTTCCTTTCTCTTTCTCTCTTTCTCTTTCTCTCTCTCTCTCTCTTTCTTTCTTTCTTTTTTTCTTCTTTTTACTACATCTGCTGCTCCATTCTGACCAGCAGTGAGAAAATAGTGACCTGTCTGCTTCCTTTTTCCTGAGCTTTCTTCATTTTCTTTGAGATCACTTCTTAACTGTTCTTCTTGGTTGGTTGGTTTTGATTATATATATCTATCCCCAGTTGTCCAGGAACTCACTGTGTAAACCAGGCTGGCTTTGGAGATCCACCTGCCTCCCCCACCTTAGCGTAGGATTAATGGTGTGTGCAACCACAAGCAGCACTTCTTAGCTAGAATTGTGAAACTTCCCCAGGAGCCCTAGGATGCATTTAGCTTCTTCTCTGTAGTGCAGTAGCACTTGCTAGGAGCCTGGCAGAGGCAGAGCACATCTGGCCAGTGCCTGGGGGCAGGGTTGGATGATGATGGTGACCAGGTGCTGTTACTATAGTCTTAGTTAATGACTTAGAGGCCTACTATGTTAGGGAAGACATCAAAGTGTCACATGTCATAATGTTGATACACACAACAATCAACTCCAAAAAGTGTAGTGCCCCCCACCCCCATCAGCAATTCAGCACCAGACACCAATGGGTGTCACACATTCCAATTTGGTTCTGATGGTGTCTACCTTGGGGAGTGTTTACCTCTCATAGTTCCGGAGGGCTGGAAGCTTTGAGGTCAAAATGCTGTTAGATTCACCAATCTGGCAAGACCTGCTTCCTTGCATACAGATGTATGCTCACTTTTCTTGTCCCTTCATCCTCCCATGGTGAAAAGGAAGCCAGAGAAAGCAAGCTCCTGGTCACTAGGGAGGACTCAGACCTTGGAACCTGATCCCCGCCCCCAGTACCATTTCATCTGCTAGGACCACCCCATTGAGGAATAAGGGTTCAAGGCACAGGTTTTACAAGGCCCTAAGCATTCAGTCCATGGCCGTTCATTTTCAAGGGTTTTATTTAAAGAAAGAACTAGATTTTGCTAATTGCTGTTATTTTGAGTCTTTATGATCATCAGATTCTCTAGACTCACATCCTCTGTCAAAAACAAAAGCAATTTTGAAGGAGTCCAGCATATGGCCAGACGCATTATACTTCATTTCACTTGTCCCTCCCACTTCCAGAGGTCAAAGGTGTTAGCTGGAAGTCGCTTTAGCAGATGCCTTAGGGCTCCTCACCCTCCTTGGCTGCCAGTATTAGGTAATAGCACAGCCACATGAAACCATTCCTAGAATGATGTTCTCAAACTAAGAGCCGCAAGTTTAATTTGTTAGAGACAGGACTTGAAAGTAGAATTTGGATTCATTTTTAATGAATGAGGTTGGGCTCCCAGGCAAAGAGGCAACGGCAAGCCATGAAAACAGTGAGGATCAGAATCAAAACAAGAGGTGTCAGTGGAGTTTGGGTGTAGAGGCACCCCCTTTAGCACCCGCACTTGAAGGCAGAAGTAAGCAGATCTCTGTGAGTTCAAGGCCAGCCTGGTCCACAAAGTGAGTTTCAGGACAGCCAGGACCAACCCTGTATGGCAAAAAGAAACAAACATGACTCAGTGGGTAAAAGCTCTTGCTGGATGACCTGAGCTCAGCTCCCAGCACCCACAGTGGAAGGAAAAGCTGATTCCCAAAAATTGTCCTCGTACCTGCAGATGCAAGCCGTGGCACTCATACACTCAAAATATGTGCAAGTCACAAGAATATTAACTTGTCCAAAAGACCTGTGCCTTTAAGATTTGATCATGAATCTGAGAGGGATTGGGGTGCTTGTCTGTTGGGGTAATGCCCAAGCGCACATAGGAACGTTTTTAACACTGCTGAGAATCTAAAGTCAACCAGGTTGCAAACAGGACTAGCAAATAAAAACTTAGAACACGTGGTTCAATTAATAATTCCAGCAACAAGAAGATATTTTTTAAAGATTTATTTATTTTATGTATGTGAGTACACTGTAGCTGTCTTCAGACACACCACAAGAAGGCATCGGATCCCATTACAGATGGTTGTGGACCCCATATGGTTGCTGGGAATTGAACTCAGGACCTCTGGAAGAACAGTCTGTGCTCATAACCTTTGAGCCATCTCTCCAGCCCAAAATATATTTCTATATTTATATCTTACCTCAATATTTGGGCTCTACTCCTGCTGAAGTTTATAACCTGTCTAAAATTCAGACTTCACTGGGCATCTTGAGTCTTACCTGACAATCACTCCCAGAAATGGAGAAAGATGGTTGACTCACTTCCCTGCAATCTGTACCACATCTCCCGTCAGTTGATTAGCAACCCTTCTCCGAGTGAGCGAACAGCTCTCTTTTTTTTAATTGTGTGATTCTAATGACAGTTGCATCTCATTAATTCAGCTTCACTGAGTTTAGAGTTTTGATTACTTATGCAAAAGTGATGTTAAAGTATACTTTATTCCTGTCGCGAATTTAATAAGCCTATTTGTCATCGATAATACAAACAAACGGGAAAGAGAACTATTTATCCCCTTGGGAGACCACAAGTAGTGTAATTACAATGAAATCAGGAGCTGTCAGTGCTCGGGCTGTGAATTTCATTTAATAATTACAGATCATTCTCAATCATAAGACAAGGCTTTACTCGGCAGAGGCGGGGATGGCCCGCTCAGTCCCTATGCCTCGCTTTGTTCTACCTGCCCCAGAACATGATGTCCATCATGTCTGCTTGTCCCACTTAAGGTAGTACACAGTGTGTGCTTGTCCTAGTGTAAAGTATGTGTATCCTGCCTACCCAGTACACGGCGTGTGCTTATGCTTCATGGCCTCTTGAGCAATGTGTGCTTACCACAAAGTACTGTTGGGCTGTACATGTTCTGTGCACCATGCTGGCAAAAGCCCCACGCAGTGCTGACTACTTACATACCTTTAAATGTTTGCTTGCTGCATCTGTGAATAAAAACTGATGTCAGTCAAACCATCTTGATTTCTGAGTATCTTATATTTAAGTTTTTAATCTTTAATTACATTTGTTTATTTCGTGTGTGGATGTTATTTGTTGGGAGGCGTAGACACCATGAGCTGCATGTGGAAGCAGAGCACAACTTACCTCAGTGGGTTCTCTCCTTGCATAATGTGTGCCCAGGGGATCAAACTCATATCCTCAAATTAGGCAGCAAGCACCTTAACCCACTGAGCCATATTGCTGACCCTTACATTTTAAATTTTTGAAATTATTTGGACTGCCCTTTTCTTTATTCCAAATGGAATTCTTAGTAAACTTACTTCCATTACATAAGAATATTCGACACGAAACATATTTCTGAACTTCCAAATGTATTTTCTGAGGACCAGAGGTAAGAAGGGAATGGCAAAATTACCATAAACATACCATGAGCTTTCTTCTGGTCTAGCACCCTGGGGCTCAGCCTCCGTCAGGCTGCTAATGGAACCAGCAGGGTTGAGCCTGCAATCTTCCTCCTTTACACCACTGATTGTGTACATGAGCACATGTGTGCAGCTGAGAAACACACACACACACACACACACACACAGCACATGCCACAAAAGATTATCGGGAGAAAGATTAGCTATAGCATCTAGATTTGTGTTGTTCATATAATGACAGAATCATCTAATGACACTTACAGAGCCTGTCCTTGTCGTTAGGGGAATGCATGACTGTAAAACAAAAAGAAAGCCTGATCTCCAAAGAGAGGTCAAGGAGAGCCTTTTGATTGGGTGCCAGTTGTCATTGTTACTGTAGAATACATTAGTGACTTGAAAATAAGATGACCCATTGCATAAGCTAAGGCATACCTGAGTGATTGAAGACCCCTGGGTTTGAGCCATCCAAGAGGCCCTCAAGAGGGTCCATGAGTGCTGGCCCTCAGGGGCACTGAATGACCAGCGTGAGCTGAGTGTGACAGCAGAAATGCCAGTTCCCGGTGTTAGCTGCAGATCTGCCTGGCCTGGAGGCACAGGGAGGTGAGACTTGTTCTCAGCCCATCCTGTGACTTTTTTCTTCTCTCTTTCCTTTGGCAGAGAAAAAAAGAGGGAGGGGAAAAAGAGATTCTTAAGAACGAGGAGGTTATGGGTTAAGGCTTCCTGGAACCTAGGGCCTTGGGCATGTTAGGTAAATGTCCTGCCAACAAGCTGACATCACCAACCATGTATCCATCCTTCGGCATTTTTCCTAGCCATCAATCTATGGGAACTCCAGGTATTGTTTTAAATGCATGTAAAGGTTGAAACACAGCTGAGCCTGCAGGTCCTTGGACCTGATCCTTTGGGATTAAATGGCTCAGTGGGTAAAGGCGCTTGCCACCGAGCCTGACAACCTGAGTTTGATCCTTGGGGCCCACAGTGGAATGAGAGAGCCAACAGTAGCAAGACATACTCTACCTACCGAAGTATGCTGAGAAGAGGGGAGGTATAACACCGTTTCCTCAGACTGTTCTTTCTGTTCCCCCTTGCCTCGCAGCACCCTGGAAGGATATTACGTGGATGATGCCCTGCAGGGCCAGGGTGTTTACACCTATGAGGATGGAGGGGTTCTCCAAGGCACGTATGTGGATGGGGAACTGAATGGGCCAGCCCAGGAGTATGACACCGACGGGAGGCTGATCTTCAAGGGACAGTACAAAGACAACAACCGACACGGAGTGTGTTGGATCCATTACCCAGTAAGCTGCTATCTGTTCACTGAGGAAAAGAAATGTGCCTTAACACAATGTTTTGACTCCTCACGGTAAACAGTAAAATGTATCCTTTGTGAAGGCATGATCAGCTGATAAAGATGAGAGTTTCTGAGGCCAGCCTACCTGCTGTTGTTCACTCGGACTTAGATGACAAGGCTTTAGATTTGCTATTAATTATTCTTCTCAGTCATACTGAGTGTTCTTGAGTATTTATTCAACACTGGGACAAACTAGTTTTATTGTACCATTAGCAGAGTAGGAAAAAAAAGTTACTTTAAATTTCTTTGTCCTATAGAAGGAGGCAGAATGATATTTCATTGTTGAAATGCGTATTTTGTATGGCTGGGTGTCATAATGCATGCCTTTAATCCTGGCACATGGTGAGATCCAGGACAGACAGTCAGGGCTGTGTAGAGAGACCCTGTCTCAAAAAAAGAAAGCGGAGAGAAAGGAAGGAAGGAAGGAAGGAAGGAAGGAAGGAAGGAAGGAAGGAAGAAGAAGAAAGAAAGAAAAGAGGTAGAGAGAGAGAAAGAGGGGAGGAAAGGAGAGGCAGGATCTCAGCCTATAAATTGTCTGGCCTATGTAGACCAGACTGTCCTCGAACTCATAGAGATCCACCTGCCTCTGCCTCTGCTTCTACCTCCCAAATGCTAGTATTTCCACACCCAGCTGTTGCTTGATTTTATCTAGTCCCCTACATGTGAGATTGAATTCAGCAGTTTGTGGTCTTTTTGGAGTTACTACACCCCTGCTGTTTGCTGGGGAACAGCAAACATCTTTACCCCAGTGCCCACCCCCTCCCTCAACTATCTCACCAGCTCATACTTTTCTTTGTAAATTGTTTAATCGGCTGAGGAGATGGTTCCGCAGATAAGAGTGTTTGCTGAAGGTAGGAGGATCTGAGTTCAAATCCACAGAAACCAAGTAAAAAGCCTGGCTAGGTCCCTTATGCGCTCACCAGGCTTCCTTGCCACCTAAAGTCCAGTGACCCTGTCTCAGGGAATAAATCGAGAGTGATAGATCAGGGCATCCAGCATCGTCCTACACACAATTGGTTTGTACTGATTTTTGAGACAAGGTTTTTCTATGTTGTCCTGGGGCTCACTGTGTAGACCAGCCTGGCCTTGAACTCACAGAGATCCACCTGCCTCTGCCTCCCTAGTACTAGGATTAAAGGTGTGCGCCACCGTGACCAGCCACACAATTGTTTGGTTTTTTTTTTTCATCAGTTCAGCTTAGCACAGTTTATGCATGTGTGGGACCAGCTACGGGGGGGGGGGGCGGGGGAGCCTGAGACAGAAGGGCTTACACTTGGCCCAACAGTTAAGAGTGCCTGCTCTTCTATCATGAGGACTGGAGTTTGAAACCAGTATTGGAGGCTCCACGGGATCCAACACCTTTCCCTCCCACTACCCCAGCCCCCCATACACACACACACACACATACTAAATTTTTTAAAAAGAACTGTGGAACTGCACCCTAAGGGAAGGATGTGGTTACTCTTTGTCTAAGACTTCCCCAAGCATTTTCAGGCATGTTAGTCAGCTCTGATCCATCAGACATTGTTTAGGTGACTGTCTAGGTAGAGGCAGACAAGCCGATACTGGAGCCAAGCTGCCTGCAGCTCCTGAAGGGTGAGAGTGGGCTTCTGAGTGGCCGGGCTGCGCTCCACGCTGCCTGGAGCTGGGGAGCTACTGCCATCTGAGACGTGTCAGAAAAATGAACGGAGCCAGTGTAGGCAGAGGCTGGGAGAGAGCTGAAACAGGGATTCCCAGAGACTCCCACTCCCTGTCATTTTACGTGTGACTGGGATCAGTGGAAGTCCTCTGATGAGATTGAAGGTACAACTGAGACCTTTTCCTGCATTCATCTCACTGACTCTAGCCAAACCTAAAAATGTCTCTAAAAATGACATCTTAGAGAATATTTTACGTGTTCTTTGAGGATTTCATATATGTGTATACAACATGTCTTCATCATATGCATGCTCCCCCTCCCAACCCCCCTCAGGTACCCCTAAAACGGCAGCTCCCACCTTTGAGTCCTTCCCCCCACTCTTTTTCTGATAATCCCACTGCTTCAGGTCCATGGGTGGGGCCAGCCACTGGAGCATGGGCGACCTACCAACAGCTGTAGCAAGGTTTTACCTGTGGTCTTATCAAATACCAAGAGCAGACTCTGGGGAGGTAGTAACTAGCTCGCAGAATGGTGGAGAGCGTGCGTGGTATCTGTTGAGAGTGTCTGGAGGCTGCGTCAGTGTCAGGGACTGCCTTGCTGGTCGTCACTGTAGTAACTTTAAACTGGAGGGGGGATGTGAACACAGAGCCACAACAGGCTTCTAGATCCCTTCTGCTGCTAAAGGAGGTGTCTCCTGAGGGACCTGAGCCTTCCTGACAGTGCCTAGGACCCATTGTAGACACATCTCAGCAGCCTTTATCTTGTTAATCCCCACCCAAGAGAGAAATGTGTTGTCAGCAAGCATCTGACCTACCTTCTCAACAATCCCGCTAGGGGAAGCCAGCGAGCAGAAGAAACCAGGCAACGGCCGCTTCCCGGTACTCCTTGAGAAAGCCGATGGGCAGTATTTGTGCCGTGGCAAGAGTAAGAGTAGGAAACAAACTGTTCTGCCAATTGTTCCAGTGAGATCGCTCTCAGAACAGCTTCTTTGGAAAATCTCCCTCTAATTATGATACCAAAGTTTTGCTGGTAATGTTTTGGGTTTTGAGACAGTCTTGTGTATCCCAGGCTGGCCTCAGATTCTCTGTATAGCTGCTAAGGACCTTGAACCTATGATTCCCCTGCCTCTGCCTCCCAAGGGCTGGAATTCCAGGTGTGTGCCCCCAACTCATGTTATGCTGAGCTGAGACTCAAACCCAGAGACTAGTTCGTGCTAGCTGAACACTAGCAAGAAGCACCATGTGCACTACAATAAATTGGTTTGGTGTGGTTTGGTTTGATTTTTAGCTTCTGGTGCATTTTATTTTATTTTATTTTATTTTATTTTATTTTATTTTATTTTGTTATTTAGAGAACCAAAGGATTTCTGTTTTGTCAGTGCAAAGTAAGAAATTCAGCTTTTGAGAGAAAGGATGTGAGGCCCTAAACACAGACTTCTGCTTCAAATAAGCAGTAACGTGGCAGCTCCTGTTAGTTACCGTGTGTAAGAATGACACAGCACGTGCTGACACACAGTGGCTCAGCAGCAGCCGCCTGAAGGCAGAGCGCACAGGAAGGACCATCCCATTCTCACAGCGTTAGTAAGACTTAAGTTCAGAAGGACAAAGAACAACAAATGTGATTCTTCTGCATTTTCTGCCCATGAAAATGATGCTGTATATTTTTCCTTAAAAGTTCTGAAATTTATTTTAGTTCATAATCTTTACCCCACCAAAGAGCAGATAGACTGTGTCGAGCTGTGCAACCGGTGTAGGTAATGTCACTTATCCTTGTCCTAATAAGCAGCACCAGGGGTCACATTAGTGTCACCCTTCCTTGCTGCTTTGTGTAACTGTTCCTAGATATTTGAGCTGAGGACATTAACCCAGCTGTCCCAGGTGCCATGGTATCAAATTGTTTAGCAAGCTTACAAAGGACTTTGGTTGGTAAATTATACAGTAAGGACTTCCAGCAGATGACCCATCTCTTGCTTCCTAAATTAAATTATCCACAACACTGTGGTAGCCCACTTCAACTAAAATGTGTCTGTGGGATGACTTAGTGAGAAAAGGTGTCTGCCACTAAGCCAGACAAAGATGGGTCCCCTGGGATCCACATGCTGGAAGGTGAGAACTGACTTCTGCAGGTTGTCCTCTGACCTCCACACATCCATCATGGCACATGCCCACCCATGCAAATACATGCGCATAGAGGGTCATACACACAAAAATACCAAGCATTTGTTGGTTACCTGCTGTGACCCTGGCACTTGCCGGGACATAGAGTTACTCTGGCCTTTGTTCTAAGGAAGGAAGGAGAGCTGGCCCTTCTCTTGGAGGGAGGCAGGGCAGTCACCAATGAAGAAGGAAAGAAAGAAGTGATATAGAATAGAAAAGACATTTTTTTTAATCGCTTAGGAAATACAAACAACCCTATTGTTACTCATGTAGCCCAAATTAATTCTTTTTTTTTTCTTTCTTTCTCCCCCACAACCTCCAACTTTGATTTTTTGAGATGAGGTTTCTCTGTGTAATAGCCCTGGCTGCCCTAGAACTAACTATGTAGACCAGGCTGGCCTCACAGAGATCCTCCTGCCTCTGCCTCCCAAGTGCTGAGAATAAACACATGCTGACTGGCCCAAATTAATTCTTACATAGTACATAGAGATTTAGCTCAGCGGTAGAGTGTTTGCCATGTACAAGCATACAAGGTCCTAGGCCCTTCGTTCACTCCCAGCACCGCAAACAAATAATTTTAAAGTACATTTTAACTGACAGTTTTGTTGTGTTGTATTTTTGAGACAGGATCTCAATATATTCCTGGCTATCCTGAATAGACTGGGTTGGCCTCACACGCACAGAGATCAGAGATTCTCCTGCCTCTCCTTCCCTAGTGCTGAGATCAAAGGTGTGCAAGACCACATCCAGACTTAAGATTCTCTTAACAGAGAAGTGAGTTGGGCACTCCTGCAATTCCAGTACTTGAGAAGCAGACACAGAGACCACAGTGAATTTACAGCCAGCCTGTCCTACATAATGAATTCAAGGCCAGGCTCAAAAACATAGCAAGAACTTTTCTTGAAATAAAAAAAAAAAACAGAAAGAGAAAAGGGAAGGAAGACAGATGAACTATAGAGATTGCTCAGTGGTTAGAGCACTGGGTGCTTATCCAAAGGACCCAGGTTCAAGTCCCAGCACCCACATGGTGGCTCACAACTGGCTGTAACCCGGCTCCAGTCCTGTCATCTTCTTCTTCCACTGCATGTGCATTGTACACAGACATGCATGCAGGGAAAAGAGCTGTGCACATGAAATACGTTATTTTTAAAAGAAAAGAAAGTTTTAAGAGGTAAGACCATATGATTGGCAGGTAATACCCTGTTATAGATAAACTTGTACTTTTTTTTTTTTGAAAGAATTTAAGGCAGAAACAGTTTGTAGCCTAGACTGACCTAAAACTCACAATCCTCCTACCTCAGTCTTTAGAATGCTGAGATTACAGATGTGTGTTGTAATAACATATAGCTTATATTTCCCTTAAATGTTTGCAATTATGTTTTGAATGAAACGTCTTTGTTTCTTAGGTAACACTCCAAGCCAAAGTGTCAGTAACTAGTCCAGGATTACAAAGTACCCTTCAGTCTCCTCCCCTAAATAAGACATGCATGCCCCTGTGCATAGAAAGTTCCAGAAATGTATTTGCAAGAGCTACCTGCAGGGGCATCAAGATCTTTCACTCTTGTCAAAAGCTCTAGAGTTTTAAGTTTAAATACCAGTGTCGATGTTCTTCACGGTGGGGTGTGGAAGAGAAAGGTCTTGAACTCGTGTCCTACAGATGATCCTTTATATAATATCTCTGTGTTTCGGTTTCTCCTGCCAGGATGGAGGCAGCCTCGTTGGGGAAGTCAATGAAGACGGGGAGATGACGGGGGAAAAGATAGCCTATGTGTACCCTGATCAGAGGACTGCGCTGTACGGAAAGTTCATTGATGGAGAGATGCTTGAAGGGAAACTGGCCACCCTCATGGCCACCGAAGAAGGGAGACCACTCTTTGAACTGACGTCAGGAAGTAAGTTGGATCTGCTTCCAGTGGGGTGACAGGTTGAACAATTTTCTTTCCTTCTCTGAGTAGCCCACTTTAATGGAGTTAATCAGATTTTGGCAAAAAAAAAAAAAAACCCCAGACCCCTCGGCCCCTCCCTGCTTTGTGACAGCAAACATAAGTCTGTTGTGTCCCCAGGTTAAGCTGTTCTAGCCTAGTCTGGACTGGTGGGGCTGAACCAGGCTAGACTCTCAGCTTCTGGTCAGATTTGATCTGTGTTTTATGGTTGGGACCAATCTGAAGGCACAGTGACCACGTAGGGCAATAGTTTCTCACAGTGGCTCATAGATGTGTCAGAGTATAATCAGATAATCCCAGAAGGGCCTCCTGAAGCCTCCCACAGGAACTTTAATTCACTTTATGTTGCAAGTCACGTGACAAAGCCCAGCGTGAGAAGGGCAGAAAGGTAACGTGGTGTCAGTGGGCTATGCTGAGAAGTCACGGGAGGAGCCCCCCCAGGGGTGTCTCTAGAAGGGACAGCGGTGGTGATTCAACCAGTTCAGATGACTGTAACCCTAAAATGCTGAGCTGTGATTTTTATGCTATTAAAGAATCAAATCAGAAAGACTTCAACAGCTGTGTAAACTGGAGGGCTGTATAAACTGTGAGACAGCTCTGCTGCTCTAGGAGCTCGCCTCAAAGGCCGATGACCTGAGTTCAATCTCGGCGGTCTGTAGTGAGTGAATGAGGAGTCAATTCCCGAAAGCTGTCCTTGAACCTCCATGAGCATACACACACACACACGTATAAATTAATTCATTTAATCCCAAATGAAGGGTTTTGTTTTGTTTTTAAAATTGAATGCCTGCTGCTCCGCTCTGTCTCTTCGGCAGGTAAATGGTGGCAAATGCAGAGATCCATGGCTATCCACGATGCCTGGTGCCTACAGAAGCCAGAAGAGTGGGTTGGATTCTTTGGAACTGGTGTTACAGACAGTTGGGAGCTGCCAAGTGGGTGCTGGGAATAGAACCCAGGACCTCTGCAAGAGCAGTCAGTAATCTTAAGCACTGAGCCATCTCTCTAGCCCATTACAGTAGTTTTGGGTTTTGTTTTGTTTTTGAGACAGAGTTTGGCTATGTCCCCCATTGTCCTGGAACTTCCTCTGTAGACCAGGCTGGCCTCAAAGTCAGAGATCCACCTGCTTCTGTCTCCCCAGTGCTGGGATTAAAGGCGTGCGCCACCACTGCCCGGCTCCGTTACAGCATCTTAAGTGGGATCTAGTGGTGCGCTTTGACTTTAGTCATTGTGCAGCTCTTGCGCATGGCAGCTAAGTGTTCTCAAGTAGGGCTCCAGCCCTAGCCTTGATACAAATTTAAAACTACCCTAGAGCCAGTATTTTTGGTAGCAAGAGCCAGAACTTTAAGCTATCTGATTTGATTCTCAAATTCCACCAGCAGTTACCGAGTCCTGGTCTGAGTCACGTTATCTTTCAGAACACATGGTCCGGATTAAAGGTGGATTTTCCCACCTCAAAAGATCCGGATTAAAGGTGGTGCTTCCCACTGTAACTGATTTCATTAAGAAAACAAATCCCTCACAGGTGTATGTAGCCACTTGGATTTTGGTTAATTATAGATGTAGTGAAGTTTACAACCAAGGAGAGCCATCACACTATCCCTTGGAGTCCTCTGCCTGCTTCTTTTACAGGCTCCATTCCCAGGCTTCTGTGTAGCCGACTTCTGAGTTTGTTTAAGCCCAAGAGGCTGCTTGCTACACATGCATTGTGGGATCTGGGGAGAACATGCCTCCTCTTCTTCTTCCATGCCCCGCTCAGGAAGACAGAGCTTCCTGCTTCTGCTCATACCTAGAACCCTCTGGGCTCCCTGCTTCATGCTCTCCTGCCTCCAGTGTAGCCAAGTTCCCCACCTAAAAGTTCGACTTTTGAAATCCTTAAGTGGTCTGATCCTAGATCATTGCTGGCTAATTTGGATTTTCTAACTTAAATTTGAGGTATTCATTTAGGTTAACATTGTATTTTAAACAACAGGAAAGGGGTCTGGTAACCATGACAACCACTGAAGACCTGGCTGATGGGATTGCCAGTGTGGTCTTGGTGCTAAAAATAATTTGCTTCGTAGGAGTTTACCTTCCAGTTCCAAATCTTGTTTCTTTGTTTATGAACCCTCGGGATTCGCCAAGGTCGACAGAAAGCCAACAGTGATTCTAGGACAGTCGCATACCTGTCTTCAGGAATAATCACTCACCAGGTCCTGAGCCACCGAGGTAGAAGCCAAATGATAGTTAACATAGCACAGAGATCAATGTTGTTCTTAACTCTGTGAGGCTGACTTCACTCTCAGCAAAGGAGTCAACTGCTGGGCTCTGCTGTAGATTTTACAGACTGTCTGGTATGAAGAAAACCTCAGAGAAATTGAAAAACCATTATCCAGTTTAGTCTAACCAGAGCAATCTGAAAATTTTCTATGAAAAAGTGTTTTTGCTTAAAATTTTAAATACCCAAGCAGGTTTTTAAGACATTTGAATAAAGGAAAATCAACAAATAGGAATCCTAAGGGTTAAATCTGATGGCTGTCCATTAAGGCTTAAATTAAACCAGTCCTGGTAAATGCAGGTCTGTAATCCCATCCACTCTAAACCTTGAGGATTACAAGGTCAAAGCCAGGCTGGACAGATTAGTAGGGCCCTGTCTCCTTATTGGGGGAGGGAGGGCAAGATTCGAAAACATAATCAAAGAGTAAACAGACAGAGGTCAACTTAGCTGTTCTAACTGGCATAACCGACCGGCATGCATGCTTGACCCTTTCCGTGACTGAGGAGCACAGCTGCATGTTCTGCCGGCTCTGCACCTCAACTCACATGTGGATTTGCCTTTTAGGTTCCGTGTACCACTTTGATAAATCGACTTCCTCCTGCATCTCTAGCGATGCCCTCCTTCCAGACCCATATGAGTCCGAGAGGTAACTGTTTTCTTGTGGCTTCCATTGTACTGTGTTTGCCCTGGCAGTGGGCACCCTTGGGCTTCTGTGGCTCTCTGCTCAGGCTGGGCTCTTGCTCAACCCAAGCCCCTCCATAACGAGCACTTTTCCTTGGCACTTCTTCCAAGTAAGGACTTGGGTATCCTGAGGAAGACCAGTTGTATTCTTTTTTTTATTATTTATTTTTTATTTTTCTGATCAAGCTCTGAAACTTTAATTTCGGGTGCAGGTTATAAAGACACAGCAAACCAGGAAGTTTGGGTGAGGGTCATTGTTTAGGGCTAGCCCACTGTTGAATCCTCATTGTCTAAAACCAGTCCACAGTCATATCCTTGTTGCCCTAGACCATCCCATTGTCGTAACTGGCTCCCAGGAATGCCAGATGTTCTTTAAGTTCCTGGGGCTTGAGACCTGTGAACGTTCTTTTTTAACCTTGTATTCTCTAGGCTTTCTAGAACAGCAGGTAACTTCCTATGTTCTCTTAGGACCAATTGTATTCTTATATCGAGCCTGTCCATAGAAAGTTTCTATATTATCAAGCCAGTTCGTCTCGTCCTAGAACAAATTCTCTAGGAAAGGTATTGGGGCAGGCAGTCAGTCATTCCCTTTTACATGTCCCCTTTCTCGGGACTCTGGGTGGATGGGGAAATTGGAGAACAACTTTTGAGATCAGTTCTTTCCTTCTGCCATGTGGAAGGGGGTCAGGCTCGAAAACAGGTGCTTTTACCCACAGAGCTAATTAATGTTACAGGCCCTGTCAGGGCTCCCGCTAGGAGAGCTCTTTCAAGCCTGACCTATACCTTCAGCAAACTCCTATTCTTTGCAGCCTGACCTTTGGACCATAAAGCAACTTCTTTATTCATAAGGGAAGACAGGGTAGAAAGAAAGCTCCCCACTGAGTCAAGTCTGGCCATTTCACACCTAGCCTGTGAGATTGGCTGCCCTTTAGCTTGGTGATGGACTGTGCTCAGAATTCTCCTCACTCTCCAGCAGCTGGTCTGCTTCTGAGTAAGGACAGCCCCCAACCCGTAGGACATGGTTTATCTCTTGTTTACTTTCTGCTCCGTCTGAGAAACAAGCCTCCTCCTGGTTGGCCTGACAGAGCTGATCCCACAGTGCCACAGGCAGGGAAAGAATGCCCTCTTTTTTTTGACAAGAGGTTCTGGCCCAGGGCCGGGGGTGCAGACTGTTTTCTGTGTTAGCCCCAAAAGACTACAGGGCCAACTGTATCTGTCAATCTAAGCTGCTGTTGTGCAATTCTGCAAAGCAATACTCTCAAATCACCTAACTGTTTACAGGAGCAAGCATTTTCTGTTATACACATGGTTCTGAGGGTTGGCTTAGGTTCAGCCATTTTTTATTTGGGCTTCACCAGGCTCAGCCGGACTAGGCTGGGCTCCAGGATTCAAGTCGAGTTCAGGTCTGTTTCACATCTCTGCATTCCAAGACTTTGGCTAAAGGAAAAACAACCCCCAGGACATTTTTTTTTTTCCTGGAGACAATGGAAACGGGAAGAGACTGGCAGAAACTCACTTTGTCTGTTAACACCTGAGACCCAGCAGCAGGGCTTTCCTTCATGCAGAGTCAGGATGTACAACCCACCTGCACTGAGGGAATTGTCATGAGGTCACCTGGCAAAAGGGTGCAGTGTATCATTCTGTCACAGGAAAGGAGCAGAATTGGAAGCAATAATTCAGATTTCCAGTCCATAAAATAAGCCAAAATTACAGATGCTCGGCCACTAGCAGAGTCATCCATCACAGTGCATGAAGACATGAAGGTTTTGTTGGTGGGACGTAGGTTTCTATTACATCCACTCTGCAACCAAGAGTGCCTTTCTTGTAAAGCTGTGCGTGGGAACCTTTTTCACACTGAGTAACAATATGGAAGCTGTGTTGTCTGTTCCACAGACTAAGCTCTGACCTTGAGCCCAGCAGCAGTCAGACACAGTCTTAAGCAAACTGGGGAAGGCAACTGTGTCTCAATAAAACTTTATCAACAAAAATGAGCAGCAGTCAGATTTGACCTGTAGCTAGCTAACTCCGGCTTTGACCCCTTTGTTGAGAAATTACTGTTGGATATATCTCATTAGTTGTCACTTTTTGTGTAAACAGTCCATCTTGGCATTTAACTAAACAGTCTTTCTATGTTACCTGGCTTTGAAAAGTTTGGGAATGTTTTCTTGTCTGGTAAGAGTAAAAGTCATCATTAGCTATAAACAGTATCTTCTTTTTCAAAAAGGTGTATCAGGTATGGGTGGCTTTAGGACTCTATAATAATTACTCCTTTAGACTAAAAAATGTATGTGGATGAGTCTTTGCCTGCATGTGTATCTGTGCACCATATGTGTGTACTGTCCATGAAGGCCAGAAGAGGGCGTCAGATCCCTGGAACTATGGTTACCAATAATTGCGAGATGCCATGTGGGTACTGGGAATGAAACCCAGGTTGTCTAAAAGAACAGCCATCATCCCAGCCCTAGAGAAGACATTGTTTGAGGCCTGGGGATATAGCTCAGTTAACAGAATGTATACCTGGCATTCTCAAAACCCTAGATTTGATCTCTCACACCACATAAAATTGGGTGCTTGCGAGGTGGAAGCAGAAAGATTAGAAGTTCCTCATTATCATCAGGTAGCTATCACCGGGTCCCCTGGAAGCAGAGGAAGGAGAATCTCTGTGAGTTTGAGACCAGCCTGATCTATATAGAGAGTTCTAGAACAGCCAGGGCTACATAGAGAGAGCCTGTCTCAAAATAAAATAATAAAATGAAGTAGCCCCTGTTGTCATTGACTTCTGAGCAAGTCTGAGGCCAGCCTGAGTCAGATAGATACCTCATCTAAAGCAGTGGGGTGGAGCTCAGTTTGAATACAACTCTTACAGAGATAAAAGTTGTTTCTTCTATTCCTGTTGCTAACATACTGTGGTTTACTTTCTTTTTTTAAAAAAAATATTTATTTTATTTTATTTTATTTATGAGTACACTGTAGCTATCTTCAGACACACCAGAAGAGGGCATCCAATCTCACTACAGATGGTTGTGAGCCACCATGTGGTTGCTGGGATTTGAACTCAGGACCCCTGGAAGAGCAGTCAGTGCTCTTAACCGCTGAGCCATCTCTCCAGCCCCTGTGGTTTACTTTCGTGACCCCCCTCCTTCCTTTATTGAATAATTGGAATAATTCAGAATGGAATTTTGGTGATTGACATGACAGGTCACGCTAAAAAGCTCACGATTTGATTTTCATTATTATGTATATATTTAGGGTTTATGTGGCCGACTCTCTCATCTCCAGTGCTGGAGAAGGACTGTTTTCCAAGGTAGCCGTGGGACCCAATACTGTTATGTCATTTTATAATGGAGTCCGAATTACACACCAAGAGGTAAGAGGGAAAGATGTGAACATCAACCTAATCGGTTAAAGGGCTTTATCTTAAGCAAGCCACTTTCATGGTCATACAGAAAGTAGGGTGATGACATAGTCATGAGTTTCCTCTAGACACCCAACATCTGAAATCCACGATTTAGTCAGATTCCTAATAATGAATCAATGGCCTCCAATGTGGTTAGTTTTTAGGAAAGCCCCCACTCCTGCTCATGCAAAGTTATATGGTGGTCTCCATCTTGCCAGGAAGAATTTTAGTGGAAAAAAAAATCCAAACTCAAAAGCTAAAAGTTGAATCAGGCAAGATGTGGTGGTGCATGCCTGTAGTCTTAGCACATGAAAAGCCAAAAAAAGCTTAAGGATTGTGGGGGTCAAGTGTAGTTGACCATTACACAGCAGTGTCCCCATCTGAGTCTCAGCCCCTGAAAATGAGTTTATTCCAATCTACTTTCAGAATCCTGGGGGAGGAGGGGTCAGGCAAGGTATGTACCTGTAACCTCATCATTTGTGAGGATGAGACCAGAGATTCATGATTCCTGGGCAAACCTGGGCTATATAGGTCAAGGTCTTGTCTTGGGGGTTGGGGGGTTGGGGGTGATGGGGAGATGCTGCAGGCATTAAAGTTTCTGCTTTGCAGGTAGGAGGAATCTCATCCAGTCCCCTGAACCTCATTTTTAAAAGTTGGGCATGGTAGCATATGCTTGTAATCTCAGTGCTGGGGAGATGCAGACAGGTGGGTCCCTGGGCCAGCCTAGCCTGCTGAGCGAGTTCTAGTCAGTGAGAGACCCTGGAAAGGAAGGGAGGGAGGAAAGAAGGATGGATGGATTGATGGATAGATGGATGGATGGATGGATGGATGGATGGATGGATGGATGGATGGATGGAAAGAGAAAGTTTCTAGGACAGCCAGGAGTACACAGAGAAACCTTGTCTCCAAAAAAACAAAGGGAAGACAGGAAGGAAAGACAGAAGGCAGGCAGGCAAACAAACATCAAGAATCCCTGGGAAAGGGATACTGAAGTTGTTCTCTGGCTGTGAAACACACATTTGTGAAATACACAGCACCTCTTGCCTTTAAGACAGTCTTTGGCAGCTATTCTATATTGTTATTGTATCTACATCTTTTTGTGACAAAAATGAGGTCAGATGCAGCTTCTTCTGGTTATATCATAGCAGCCTCAAAAAAGTTTGAATTTGGAAGCATTCTGGATTTTTAAATATTTAAGCCTGTGCTTCTTTATTTGAACACTCTTCAAATGAGGAAACGAAGAAAGATTAAAGAGTTTGCCCCAGGGCACAAATACAGTGAACTTTGTAGTCCAAGGAAGGTTTTGAAAGCAAGGGCAGGCTGGCATCAGATCCTGTGATGATTGCAGTAGTGCAGGAGACGCCGCTCTCAAGCTGTGCGCTTGTTACTCTGACACCCACCTAACGGCAGCAGCACAAACCACACCACTACACTTCCGTGGCGGACTGGGAGTAATGAGGGATGAGACTGTCCACCGACTGAATGTCACATCTAAATACAGTGTATCGGAGGAAGAGTCAGTTCACCTGGGCAGGGTGGCCAACCTGGGATTCACAGACTACGTGAGGCAAAGAATCACTGCAGGCATAGCCTAACGGAAAGTTGTAAAGTTTACTTAAAGCTTAAGAAATATTGTTTTGTTTTTATTTTTTTATAGTTTCTTTTTAAAGACTTGTTTATTTTGTATATGTGAGTACACTCACTCTTGCTGTCTTGAGGCGCACCAGACGAGGGAATCGGATCCCATTACAGATGTTTGAGCCACCATGTGGTTGCTGGGAATTGAACTCAGGACCTCTGGAAGAGCAGTCAATGCTCTTAGCCACTGAGCCATCTCCCCAGCACAAGTGTGGACCTTTTAATAAATGTTTTAAAAATGCATTTATGACCGGGTGATGTTGGTGCAAACCTTTAATCCCCAGCACTAGGGAAGCAGGGGCAGGAAGATCTCTGAGCTGTTCAAGGCCAGCCTGGTCTACAGAGTAAGTTCTAAGACAGCCAGGGCTATATAGAGAAACCCTGTCAAAAAAAAATTTATTATTATTATTATTTTTTGGGGGGGTGCATCATCTGCTGCTGTTCAAGAGTGAAGGTCAGAGCACATTTCCTTGGAATAAGTTCTCTCACCTTTCACTGGGTGGCTCTGTGCACTGGACTCAGGAAGTCAGGGTCAGGCGTGGTCACGGTTGTGAGCAGCTGTACCCCAGCCATCTCTACAGCCTCTCCTCTGTTTATTTTTAGTTCGGGTCTATCTGATATTTTTGTGTGTCTTCGTAAAGGATAGGAATCCTTTTCTTCTATCTGAAATGAGGAGAATCCAGTAAGCCGTAGGTTGAGCGTCTGGTTGCACTGTCCTTGCGTGGGAAGATGTCTTGGCTGTCTTGCGTGTCTGCAGCGTTCTAACTATGAAGTGTTAAGCTAAGTGAGTTAGCGCCTCTGACACGCTGTGAGCTTTGGTGAGGAAGGCCCTCTCTAGCATGGCTTCGCTGTGTTTTGCAGGTTGACAGCAGGGATTGGGCCCTGAATGGGAACACTCTCTCCCTGGATGAGGAGACAGTCATTGATGTGCCTGAGCCCTATAACCACCTGTCCAAGTACTGTGCCTCCTTGGGACACAAGGCAAATCACTCCTTCACTCCAAACTGCGTCTATGACCTGTAAGTAGGACACGGCAGCTGCTTGGATCTGTGCAGAGGGGCCCCAGGGCCGAGGAGGGCATGGGAAAGGTCCCTAAGCTTCAGGTGGTGGCTGCTCTCACAGAGTCGGGGGGGGGGGGGGGGGTGCTGTGAACTTCAGCGTTGTAGTTTAAGGCTCCAGATCTGAACAGCTCGCCTTCCAGCCGTGAGATTGAAAGTGTGCTTTGAAAAGTAGAAATATCACAGAAATGTGGTGGCTGCTTTATTGCTCTCCTTATGTGCCCTTAGGTTTTTCTCATTTACGGATCCCATTGCAGGGCTGGGGAGGGGAGGAGACGTTAAGGCATTCAGGTGCTTGCTGCACAAACATGAAGACCTGAGTTCAATCCTCACCCAGCACCCACAGAAACAGCTGAGTTTTTGGAGGGAGCCTGTAATCCCACCACTGAGGGGACAGAGCCAGGAGGATCCCCTGGGCTCAATGACCACCCAGATTACCCTACTCAGGGAGTTCCAGGCCAATGAATAAGTAACCCAGTCTCCAAAACAAGATGGCTGGTATTTGAGGACCACACCTGAAGTTGTCCTTTGGCTTCCACATACATGTACTCACAGGAACAGACATACTGGCATACACATGTAGGGAGGTTCTTTCTTTCTTTCTTTCTTTCTTTCTTTCTTTCTTTCTTTCTTTCTTTCTTTCAAGAGGACCAGCCTCTTTCTTTTCTTTTTTTTTTTAAGTACTTATTTTTTTATTTCATGTATGTGGGTACACTGTCACTGTCTTCAGACACACCAGAAGAGGGCATCAGATCCCATTACAGATGGTTGTGAGCCACCACATGGTTGCTGGGATTTGAACTCAGGACCTCTGGAAGAGCAGTCAGTGCTCTTAACCACTGAGCCATCTCTCCATACCTAGAAGTAATCTTAGAAAGCATTTCTGCCCCCACTCTAGCCTGTGTAGCTCCCAAATAAAAGATACAGAAACCTGGTCATTTTTTTTCTAAGATCAATTTATTTTATTTGTATGAATACACTGAAACTGTCTTCAGACACACCAGAAGATGGCATTAGGTTCTATTACACATAGTTGTGAGCCATCATGTAGTTACTGAGCATTGAACTCAGGACCTCTGGGAGAGCAGTCAGTGCTCTTAAACCACTGAGCCATCTCTCCAGCCCTGATATGTTTATAAACAAGCTGTAAATCTCAAACCAGGCAGGTTCTGAACTGATCTAACCTACATCCCAGCCATACCCTTGTTACTTGCCAACTGAGTCTTGTTCTGTTTGCTCTGCTGCATGTGTGTCCTCTGGGCGATTTTTCTCTTGGCCACATGCTCATGGTCCATCATGCCTCATGGAGACCTCCTTCTCCTACCTCTTTCTCCTCATGGTCCCTGCCTGAGATCCCCTGCTCGATCTCAAGTCCCGCCCTCCTCTCTCTCCAGCCCAGTCACAGGCTCTAACCTTTTATTATCCAATCAGAGATCACTGGGGAGCATTCTTTACAGCACATTGGTCAATACAATGCCCATATCCAGACAGCAACCTGACCTTGGAACACCGAGCTCAGCATCTGAATACACAGTGCACGAGACAGATCTCAACACACATGTGCACCCTGCTTACATACGTGCGCACTGATAATGGGATGGCAGTGTAGCTCACTTGTAGAGCATGGCCTTCCGTGTTTGGTGCTATAGTTGCAGCCCCTCTGCTGTGCATGATCTCAGCATGATCACAGCAGATATGTCCAGAGCATGACTGTGAACATCTCATCTGTAACACCATGCCAAGATTTGGGGCTTGCTAGGAAATGTCCCAAGACTTGACCTTAAGATGCCTTGGAAATCGTCCTGCCAGTGACTAGCTTTCCTTGGTAGCCAGTGACAGGTACCCTGGAGCTCCAGCTGCTTCCAAAGGGCTAGCTGCAGTGGCAGAGGACGTGTCATGTGAAGCAAAACTGACACTATTATTAGTTTCGGGGTTTTCACGCCTAGTGTACATTTGGCTGAAGCTCATTCCCAATGGACATAACAACAGCCCCTTAATGCCATGGTAACTAACCATCCAAACCACCACTCAGATCTCCTCCTTGAATCAAGCCCGTTCTGTAACTTCTCTGCAAGGATGGCTTTTCTTCCCAAGGCAATAAAGAACTGGAAACAGGAGAGGTTTCTGATTGTGCAAAATCACTCTCCACTCGGCAGGTTTTGTTTGGGGGTTTTCTGTTTGTTTTCTTTGTGTTTGTTCCTGGTGTTTGTCTTTTAAGCCCAGTGTGGCCAAAAGTCAGTTATCTGGAGGAATGAGAAGAACCGCTTGAATAATGACCAAGTGTAAACTTCAGATTACAACTCCTGGTGTCTGTGTGTTCCTCAGGCCACCGGCATTAACATACACATTCATAGAAATGAGCGAACATTTCCCTATGCTGCTTTACTGAAGTCTGGCACAAAACTGCCCAGGGAACATTTACACAAGTAAATACGGTACCATGTCTGTCAGCTAAGGTCCAGAGCTGTGTGGCCCAGAGGTTTGGGTTCCTTGCTACTTCTGCAGCCAAGGTCTCTGAGCATTCATTCCAGGTCCCTCTCCTCCCCTCCTCCCTTCCTTCTTATGTAAGAGATTTAACCTAGGCCCTCACATGTGCTAAACTCATATTCTGCCCATTTACCCTGGCCCTACTCTGGATGCCTTTCATGTTTTATCTCATTCACCTCCCCCAGGACCTTCTGGTCAGCTTAGGGCTCAGATCTGGAGGCAGAGTGGCCCCGTGCAGTGTGCCCCCAGTGCCCTAACATCTGAAAACAAGCTCTTTCTTTTTATTCTGTCTACTCAAACTAAGAACGTGCTGGATATGGTGGTGCCCACCCGTAACTCTAGAGCCTGGAAGTCTGAGGCAGAGGGAGACTGAGTTCTTTAATCTCAACACTCAAGAGGCAGAGGAAGGAGGATCGCTGTGAGTCTCATGCCAGCATGAGCTACTTAGTGAGACCACATCTCAACATAAACATCAACAAAAAACACATCAAAATGAAAAGACAACAAAGCCAGTGAGCATACAAGTAAAGCTACAAGAACATTGGAAAAGAAGTCTTAGGTCCAAAAATTTGACATCAGGCTCCCTTCCCAGGCCCCCAGTAGATCTTCTAGGAAGTCAATCAAAGCTCCATTTCAGAAGTGTTATTTAATTTTCATACGGAAGTCATATGATGCAAATTATAATGAATCATGTCAACTTCAAGACAAAAATTGTCTGGTGTGCTAGCTCGAGTCTTCAGTCCTAGCACTCAGTAGGCAGAGGCAGAAGGTTCTCTCTGAGTTCAGAGATAGCCTGGTCTACATAGTGAGTTCTGAGCAAGCCAGAGCTACACAGTAATATGCTTCTATCTGCTTTCTATCGCTGTGAACAGACACCATGACCACAGCAACTCATACAAAGGAAGACACTTCACTGGGGCTGGCCTACAATGGAGGTTCAGTCCATTGTCGTCATAGAGGGAAGCATAGCAGTGTTCAGGCAGACTAAGTGCTGGAGAAGAAGCTGAGAGTTCTATATCCAGATCCACAGGCACCAGGAAGAGAGAGTGACACTGGGCCTGGATTAGGCTTCTGAAGCATCAGAGACCACCCCCAGTGAGACACTTTCTCCAACAAGGCCACATCTCCCAATAGTGCTACTCCCTGTGAGCTTATGTGGGCTGTTTTCATTCAAATCACCATAACTATCTGTATATACATATATGTAAGTGGATTTTAATAAACTATTAGTTATTAATATGACCCGACCAGTCTTCCAATAACTGAGGCAGAGTCCTATGGATTTATTTAATCAGCTCTTGCACAATTACTGAGCAATTACCCCTAATCTATTTTTCTAAGGCTATACTGGCTACTTCTCCAGCTGCTCTCCCCATGGTGCCTGCTGTTTGAGTCTTGCCCAAGTTAATTCTGCTCCAGCAGTTTGTCCTTGGGGGTCCATTTCACTTGGGCATGTGCTGCTTGCTGGACCATCACCTCAAATGGAGAGCTCCTGTTCTCTCTGTCTTCTTCCTCCTTCCACCATCTCTACCTGAGCCCCCCAGCCCAGTAACTGAAACTCCACCTACCTCTACTCTCCCCAGTAACTGGCTGTAGCCCCCTTTATTTAACCAGTAGTTTTACATTGGGGAGCAAGGTTTACATAGCATCACTTGGTGTATGTGGGGATCTGCTAGTCGGGAGCAACCAAATCTTGGGGGACAGCGTTTAGTATTTATATACACAGCACCAGATCAACCCCCAGCAGATACACACACATACATACATTCATACATGGATACATACATACATACATTCATACACACACATACATACATTCATACATACATATACATACATACATTCATACACATGCATACATTCATACACACATACATACATTCATACATACACACATATACATACATACATACATACATACATACATACATACATACAAAATTGTGATCTTATGGTGCTGGGGATCTGTGTGCCAGCTAGGTATTTACTCCACCCAAAGCCACAGTTTTAACAAAGAGTTCTGGATCGATGGTCTGGATATCTTCTTTGTGAAGGATCATAATCTTAGATCACTTATATGTCCAAATGCACATGTATGTATACACATGTACTCATATGAATGCCCACCCATGGCTTATAAGTGCTGTTCACATATCCGCTTACTTGCATGGTAGCTGATAGCAGAATCTCAGTTTGTACGAGCCACTGTGTTAGGGACATGCTACATGAGACCCCATTTTCTCACCACAGAGACCATCTAGGGAACATCTTACTAGTTTGTAGTGATCTACAAAATCGTCATGATTTTGTAGATCAGGAAAGTGAAATTCAGGAACACAGGAACATATGAGAACACAGTGATACATATGAAACCAGAACTTACAGCCATCCAAAACTCTTGACCCCAAGTTAAATGCCCCTTTCATGAAGCATGATAGCCAAGTAGAATGGATAGAGGCCTCATTGGTGTCAAGTAGAAGTTGTTCATTTTTATTCCACATAAAAGTTATCCCAAATCACATACACACATCTGGAAGCGTAGCCCAGAGAGGGTATTTGGTTACCAGTTCTATTCCAGTGTTCTAAGAAAATGTCAGACAGACACCTTTCTCCATAAACAGAGGAACCATCCAAATACTTAGCTCCATCAGGCCTATAAATCTGATTTATGGCTGGCTTTTTCCCATTTGATGTGTCCTCTGTCCTTTGTTCACTATGGGGGGGTCTACATGAAGGATGAGTGCTAGTAAGCTAGCTCCACAGCTAGAGGCACTCGTCACCAAGCCTAAAAACCTGTGTTTAATCCTTGGAACCCACATGGTTGAAGGAAAGGAGCAACTTCTCCAAGTTGTCCTGTGACCTCCCCAACATGTGCTGCGGTGTTCTGCTGTGAGGTTTGAGGTTTTAGTTTTAAGACAGGATGCTGTATAATCCCAGTCTGGCCTCACACTCACTATGAAGGCAAGAACAACCTTGCGTTTCTGATTCCCCTCCCCTACCTCCTGAGTGCTAGGACCTAGTGATGGTTTCTATATGCTCTGCCCAGGGAGTGGCACTATTTGGAAATGTGGCCTTGTTGGAGTAGGTGTGTCACTGTGGATGTAGGCTTTAAGACCCTCATCCTAGCTGCCTGGAAGTCACCCTTCCACTAGCAGCCTTCAGATGAAGATGTAGAACTCTCAGCTCCTCCTGCATCATGCCTGCCTGGATGCTACCATGCTCCCGCCTTGATGGTAATGAACTGAACCTCTGGACCTGTAAGCCAGCCCCAATTAAATGTTGTTTTTATAAGAGTTGCCTTGGTCATGGTGTCTGTTCACAACAGTAAAACCCTAACTAAGACAGACCACTATGCCTGGTTTATGATATGCTGAGAAAAGCCTTAGACTGCCATACATACTAGATGAACAATCTACCAACTGAGCTACCCCACCACCTGCCTAGAGTGTTCTAACCCAGCAGATCTGGGTCCTGCTGAAGCTGGTGGACCCATGCTCATTCTCTGAGAATGCAGGAGTGATACCCAGCCGGTGCATGTGGGCGAGCTGCTCCCTTTGCACTGAGGTCCTGGGTTGGCCCAAGAGTGACCTTTCCCATCTTGATGTTTAGGTTTGTCCACCCCCGTTTTGGGCCCATCAAGTGCATCCGCACCCTTCGAGCTGTGGAGGCTGAGGAAGAGCTGACCGTTGCTTACGGCTATGACCACAGCCCCCCGGGGAAGAGTGGGCCCGAAGCCCCTGAGTGGTATCAGGTGGAGCTAAAGGCCTTCCAGGCCACCCAGCAAAAGTGAAAGGCTTGGCCCTGGGTTCCAGAGACGTGGAATAGAAACTCGGATCTATGCACTACATTTATCTGACAACGGGACAACCAGGGACTGTTCACGCCGTGACGTCACATCCTCTCACCCCGCGTTAGCAACGATTCTCTCGCATACTAACTAGGTTTGACTGTATTACTCATACCAGATTTAAAATTAGCTAGCCTTGCAACAATGCCCTACTGAGAGGTACTGTTGAACTGTTGACAACATGGTGTTCTTTGATGGTTGGAGTCTAAATCTGGACCATGTTCAGAGATACCAAATGATGAGGCTGAAAAAGGGAGATGGGGTTCTTCGGTCACTTTTATTTTATTTTTTTATTTTTTTGGTTGATGGTTTTGTTTTTTTTTTTCCATGACGTTTTCTCTATGGCCAGTGCAAATGGTGTTCGGTCACCCTTGCATGTTGCCAACGGCAGGGCAGGAAGCGATTACATCTTTATATATATATATGTAGGGTCATTTGCCTTTTAACCTTTGATCTGTATCTCTTGCAATAGAATGGCTTTGTTTTTGTTGTTACTCTCCTAGTGAATTGAAGCCCAGTCTTTTGAGTCATTTCTTTAGCCTCACTATGTTAGCTATACTTTACAAGAAAAAGCTTCCAAACGAATTGTGCATTCGTAGCAGCGTACAGGTCTCTCTGGTTCTTTCTCTACCATCTCATTCTTATGTCCTGATATAAAGTCCTGGCTCATAAGGCCAGACTCTTATTATAGACTTACTATTCTCTATTCTCGCATGTAAACAAAGATATCTTTGCTTTCAGATGTGAGAAGAAATGAACTTACCTTGTTTGCATTAAGTTATGAAAGAGTTGTAAGATACACTTTCAGGAAGAAGAGAGGAAAATGAGTATTTCTTAGCAGTTGTTCTGGCAATTTTACAGTATCTTCAGTAGTGTGGGTAATTTTTTTTCCTTGGGTACTCATTAGTTGTACATAACCTAGCACAGTCTGGCTTGTGACACAGCTCACTGAATTCAAACACAATAGCCAATGAGCATTCCAAGGCAGAATGCAAAATCCTCTCTGAAGTCAGTGTCACGAAGGCAGACATGCTGCTGATCACTAGGTCCAAATCAGATCTTTAGCTGAAGCTTCTCATCACAGCGATTTCAGAGCACTTAGCTGCTTCCAGGAGCTTGAAGCCAAGAGCTCGCACCTGCGCGGCTAATCCCGCTAGCGCTTCAGCTCTCTCACTAAGCCATATGTAATCACAACTGCAGAAATACAGAGAAAAACCCCATTATTTTAGTTTAGCACATTAGATCTGTAACGTAACTGGATTGCTCTGAATGAATGCCGAGTTTGGGGGACACCTCCTCCAGGCGTCGCTCCATCACCAAGAAGCCCTGGGAACAAGAGTGGCTGAAGCCTGCCGCGGTCAGCAGTGCTACCTGTAGCTTGTGTTGGTTTAGGCTCAGAAGCTAAAGCTTTCCAAGCTGCAGTTGATCGTTGAGGGAGCTGGGAATGGGGGAAGATGCTTAACTTGGGAGTGGGTGGGAATGGAGGGAGGAGACAGCTAGAGAGAAGTTTTGATATTCTGTGGTCAGTTGCATCTTGTTCTTCATGGCTTTCACGAGCGCTCCAACCAAGGCTGCAACACAGCTTGCCCAGCAGACAGCCCCAGGTGGAGACCTCAGCCCTCAGTTATGATAACCACACCTGGGCTCTTTCACAGGCTTCCTGACAGACCTACTGTCAGGCTCTGCACCCAGGTGACCCATGCTTCCCAGGAGTGCTAGTCACATTCCTGTTCCAAAGCTTAAGGAGACAGTTCCCTCTGGAGAAACATCCTCAGGACTTGTGAGGAGCCTCCTGCCAAGAGGACCGCAAGTCAGCAAGATAGGATGGCTTCTGTTCTGTAGAAAGAGACCATTCAGTAAACTGTGACAGAAGGTCCAGTCTGTGGATTTGAATTCTGTGAGGAGCTTTTATGTAAATGTGTTCAAAGAGAAGTTGGCTGCATTGGGGAGAAAGATGGCTGACTTCAGTCGCCAGATGAGACAGAGGAAGAGAGGGTAGGTCCCACTTCCAGTCACCTGGGCTCACAGGATTTCACACCTGGGGATGGAACTTTATCCTCAGTTGCTGTAGGGGCTCAACCTCTATCCTAAAGGGCTACTCCTTCTAGCAATCTCATCCAAATGGAACTCAAAAACAATTTCGGGGGCTTGAGGGCCAGCAATATGGTTTAGCAGGTAAAGGTGCTTGTTGCCAAGCCTATAGTCTATATAGTAGAAGGGAAGAACCAACTTCTGCAAGCTGTCTTCTGACCACACCCAGCGTGCCACACACACACACACACACACGTGTGGCAGGGAAACAGGCTGTTCTACTTTTCCCATTCCATAGTGGAGGAAGACACACTGGACTTCAAACCCAGCAATGTGTCTATGACCCTGAGAGCAATCACAGGAAGTGATTCTCACAGCTGAGCCTCTCAACCCTCTTGTGTGTTTCCGGTGCCTTTCTTCCGCTGTGTGAGAAGCCTAGGTGTATGTGCAGAATGGCAGCCCAGCTGACTGTTCCACCTCTTTCTTTGTGTCTTAAATTCCTCTCCTCTCTTGCTGGACTCTGCCTTTCCCTGACTGTGACCCACTGTTTTCCCCCCACCTTCTACCTTCCTCTCCCTCCCCCTTCGTCCTCCTCCCTCTCCCTCTCCAAAATACCCAGCATCATCACAGGTTGCAACTGTTAAAGAGGCCAGAACGTCACTATGGGGTAGAGAAGCGGACAGCGTAGGCACTGCATAGGGAATTAGCTGCTGAGGGAGATTGGGGTTTGCTCCTTGCTCGAACCAAAATGGAAAAGCCTTCTACTTCACATCTGCTGTAGAAGGGAATAGGAAGCAGACAAGTCTGGTCGTCTCTCAGGATCATAATCACAAACCGACATGACTGAGATTCTATGTGGTAGAGAAAAAAAAATTAACTGTCTGCTGTCTTCCAAACAGCTGGAGCTTGCGCACTTGCCTGACGCCTTGGTGTCGAGGGGACTCATTCAGAGCTGTCTCAGTCCAACCCTGCATGCCTTGATTCATCTTTAGCATCTTTTCTATGATGAACTATTATTACCTTGTGTTAGAGTTAGGAGTTAGGACTAGGAACTAATCCACAGAGCATGTTCCCCTACTGGGGCATTCGCTGGAACTTACAAAAGCAAAAGTAAGAACTGAATTTAAGACACAAAAGAATGAGAAGGTTACAAAGTAACAGGCGGAAGACTTGAGTTTCTTAGTACAGATTCTTATTTTAACCCTCTCGATTCCTGATCTCCCCAGCAACTAAAAAGGAAACTTTTTTTTTTTTTTTTTTTTTTTTTTTTATACCAAGCCCTATTTGAACGAGACTGGGACTAGAGTTCAGCCTCATTACTCTTTGGGGATCATCAGACTTGAAAAACTATTTCCTTATCACCAAACCATACACACACACACACACACACACACACACCAACAAGGCCATGTAATCATTTACAACATTTAATTGTGACAATTAAAACTGTCTTGGGCTGCAGATAAAGCTCAGGTCCAACATTTGCCTAGCAACTCGAGGCCCTGGTTTACACCCCTAGTCCTGGGGGTGGAAGGGTCGATTATGAACAGAGAATTAAAAGGTTGTCCTAGTGAGACAGTATTGGCATTTTTATTAATTTCACTTTATTGGTTTTTTAAAAAAATCTAAATTTCTCACTGCAAAATGCATTTGCAAATCTTCCAGGAAGGTCAAGAATTCTGGACTCTGGTTATTCACCAACAGCCACCTCAAATTCTGTCTTCAAAGTAGTGATTTAGAATCCAGACATCTTTTGTTTTCGACAAACAAGCAAAACTATGTTGCAAGGTGGATAGTTGCAATGTTTCTTTGCTGCAGATCAAAGGTTCACAAATATATTCAATTTACAGGTACATGATGTACCTTGATAGAGTCTCCCAGCACACCTTGGGTTAAGTTTTGGTGTCAGAGTTTTTTGATTTGGATTTTAGTTTTGGGGGGTTGTTTTGGTTTCTGGGTTTTTTTTGTTTTGGTTTGGTTTGCCAGGGTTGGGGAGGGGAGGGCAGGGGTGGTGATTTTGTTGTTTTCAAAAATACTAAATTTTATAAGTTTTATTTTGCCAAACATGTGCATACATATTCAAAGCAATGAAACTATTTCAAGCCATAAAGACGCAGGGGTGGAGCCCTTTTCACAAATTTTAATGTGTTTGTATGTAAATAGATGTTTGTATGAAATATTTTCATGGTAGAATGAATATATTTAAATGAAGTTGACTTATTCCAGTGCTATTTAAACACATGACAAAAATTTTTGGTGAGAATTATCTGAGTCTATTGAGATATAATGCAGATCAATTTTCATTTTTAGAAATCAAAAGCCTACAAACCGCTCTGACTGGTGACCACCTCCTGGTGGGGTGGCGTCTGATGTGAGGTAGGCTTCCCCAGTGCCTCAGCCGCTTTCTGGTGGTAAGTTCGGTGCTAAAGGAGACGTGTTTACCTTTTAGTGATTCCTCCTGGCCTCCGAGGGGCCTGAGAGCGAATCGAGGCGTTAAGAGACACCGGTGCAGTTATCCGAGCACAATTTCTTTGCAGGGCAGCAGAATCAGAAGCCAGACTTGGCCGTGTAAACCTCGGAGCTGGGTTTCCCCGGCTACCCTCACTCGCCACCCCTAACTGCCTAGTCACAATGTCAGGGAGGCTACCCTCAGTGGAGTTGGGGTCTGGACCCCGGGGTGGGACTTCACAGATTTACCAATGCTTTTTGCCTTCCGACCTCCCTCTCCTCGAGGGAGGAGGAGGGCAGCCGCTGGCAGGGGCCATTCTCAGCACAGTCCTTATCCTGTCTCAGCTCTGGAAGACTATGCATCTAAGCACCCGACTTCAGCCAGAGAGGGAGACTTCCATGGATAACGGAAACCCTTGATTCCTGTCTGTGACTTTACATGCAGTTGTTAAATGTCATTTTAATATGAAGACCATTCATGTACCTAAGACATACCTCCCAACTCTTCCAACTCTTGAGTTACTGGAAAGAAAAACAAAACAAAAAAATCCTTTACAATGATATTCCACTTGAGTGCGTTCCCCAACCCACCTTTGGCCCTGGGTATAACAATAATCTGACAAATTTCACTGTGTACACTAGCAATATGAACACTGAGCCAGTGCACCCTCATCTATCTACTTGGTTACTATAGTTACTCTGGATACTACAGGGACTACGTACGTCATACCTGATGGCTGCGTAAGAAAGTTATGAAGTTATGTCCATGATTCTTGGCTCCTTTCTTCAAACGTTTTTTCCTCCTGTTTTTTTCTATGTTCTCTTTCTATCCTAAGAAGCATTTTATTGGGTTGTGAGGTACGTTTACGGAGTGGAAGCCAGGGGTTACGCTTTTGGCCTTGATTGTAACCAAAAGTCAACCCATCACAGTTAAAAAGAAAACATCTTTGGTCTTTTGTGGAATTTGAACTAAATCTATGAGCCTTATTCAATATCTATAATTCTATGATTTTTTTTTAAATTATGGGAAACCAATGGAAGATGTTTACATGAGTAATGTTTGCCCTTACTGTGTTATGAATGAATTTTTTGTAGTGTGTCTGGGCGCATGTGCAAGAAAGTAGGAAAAATGTTTCTGAAACAAAACTTGACAAATATTTGTAATGAAAAGTAAACTTAAAGATTGCTATAATCGCGCTATAGAAACAATGCAAGTATTAAACAAAATATACAATCACCTGTTGTCAGTTTTTTTAGTTGTCTAGGGAAGAAAAGCAGCAACAGTGTCCATTGAGTGTGCCT